CTCCCGGATTTTTCTTTCCCTTTCTCTCTCCAGTTGCTCCAGACGATCTCTGGAAAATAATTTTTGTTTGTTACAAATTCAGCTGGTGAAGAGAAGGAAAACTGGTTTGCAGCACCAAACCACTGAACTCAACTTCCTTCTCAACACCCCCAGTTGTGCATCAGTCAGAAACAGGCGGAGTTTTTCAGCTGATCCTTTCAAAAACAGGCTGAAAAGACCCAGACCAGGAGTTCTCCACCCTATCAGGATTTAAGCAGAAATTAAGCCAGTCCAGTTAATTAATCCCCTGATAATCCAGATAATTAATCCCCTGTGTAAAACTGGTTTGTACTTATTTTTCAGGTTGGAAAAAACCTCTAAGACCATCCAATCTTTTTATTACAGTCAACCACTGGCAGTGAATTCACCTGGAACACCCACGGTAATGAAGCACTTAAAAACAATTAAAGTGAACAACACATTCCTAGGAACACAGACAATTTTTACAGTGGATTTTTTTGGTCATTTCACAACAAGAACTGCTCAGAGGAGGCAGGTATGGATGTACCTCTCCCTCCTGGAATGCTCCCTTGCCATCTCTCTCCGTTTCTGTCTCTCCCATTCACGCCGGGCTTTATCCTGCTCTTCTCTATGTCTCTTCCTACGCTCATGCTCCCGTTCTTTCTCTTTCACTCTGGCATGTTTCCCTTGAACAGACAGAAATCAATTTCCGAGTGTTACTGCTCAAAATAATCACTGAAAGCAAAACTCAGGGGGTGAAACTGATGGGAAATATTGCCATGACCTCTGTTGTTTTCTTAAAGGGAAAATCCTGTTCTGAAAGGGGGTTGGAAAGCCTGAAGTCTGTAAGATTTTGCATGAATACTTGTATGAAAGTAAAAAATGGTTGTTATTGACAGGAAGACAACGGGAATGCCTCTAGAAAGGATTTTTTTTTTCCTTGGCAGGTACAAAGATCAGAGATCTTTCACTCAGTGAAGCCAGAGAGAATCTTATCAGGCCTCAAGGAGTAAAAGTGACCTCGGTGTCCTTATCTCAGAGTGATTTCTGTCCTCCCACCCACCTCACACCCCTGGCATTCCCCTAAGGACACTAAACAGCCAAAGAAACAATAACAGCTGGAATTCCTCTGTCTGTCCACCTGCTGTGCTTCCTCCTGTTCTTTACTCTACTCCCAGAAAGCAGAAGCTCCCAGAGTGGCAAGAGGCACCTTCTGCAGAGTGACTCCTGTGCCTGCGTTTCTCTTTCCTCTTCTCGTCTTTCCTGTGGTGGGTTTTTTCTTTCCGGGACATTTGCTGGGGTGGTTTGATAGCCAAGGAATCATCTTCTTCTCCCCTGAAAGGCAGGACAGGAATAAACTCAGGGAGGTGACAGGGGAAATTCACAGATCTCCTTGTTTGGAAAAGATTCCCATTTTATTTTGAGTTACCACAATAAATCAAAACCGGAACACAGCACTGTTAAATCTTAACCAGTGCTTCAAAAGTTGTTCTATAAAAATGATTTCCACTCCTAAAATTTGATTTGCCCTTCAGATATTTGAAACCCTCTGCTCAGGACGTTGAAAGGTTAATTTCAGGAGTTTTTTTTCTCTTTTTATTTCCTCACTCTTACCTGTCTTCCATGGAGTCTTCCCTCCTGTAAGGTGAGTTCCTGATGGTGATTTCCATGCGATGGTCTCTCAGCTCCCCCTCTTCAAGAGAATCCCTCTTGGAGTCCCTGTCATCTGACTGAGGGAACAGCAGAATCATTTACTGGATGGTCAACTTGAATAAAATGAAATATTACTGAGGTCTTTCATTGCTGGCTCAAAAATTCAGCCTGGTCAGCCCTGTAAAAGCCACTGATTTGTGACAGCAGCACTTCATTACAGCTGAAGTGCATTGATTTGACATAATTAGACAAAATTAAACACTGAGGAGGAGCGCAGTAATTATTGAGTGGTATTTTCTGCAATAATTATTTTGCACACAGCTGTGCAAAACCAAACAGGAACATAAAAGTGATTCCAAACCCACGATTTCAACCCATTCTTCCATAAATCTTTAAAAGTTGTTCCTTGAACTGCAAGCCCCAGCTGGTTACTTTATTTTTATATCTATTTATTTATTTAAAATTAATGTATTTAATTTATTTAAACATGAATTATTGTATATAATTATCTACATTTAAATTATTAATTACATTAATTTACTTATCTTTTCTGACCAATAACCAAACAGGAACATAAAATTGATTCCAAACCCATGATTTTAACCCATTCTTCTACAAAATCTTTAAAAGTTGTTCCTTGAACAGCAAGCCCCAGTTATTTATTTCTATTTATTTACATATTTTATTTATTTAAAATTAATTTAATATATTTAAACAATTATTGCAAATAATTATACATAACTATCTAAATTTAAATTATTAATTACATTAATTTATTTATCTTTTCTGACCAATAACCAAACAGGAACATAAAATTGATTCCAAACCCATGATTTTAACCCATTCTTCTACAAAATCTTTAAAAGTTGTTCCTTGAACTGCAAGCCCCAGCTGATTACTTTATTTATATTATATTTATATTTTTATTTATTTAAAATTAATTTATATAAACATTAATTACCATATATAATTCTATATAATTAAAATATTAATTTAAATTATTAACTCCATTGATTTATTTCTCTTTTCTGACCACTGACTGTAACAAAGCACAGCATATCACAAGACCAACAAAATCTTCACAAAACATCACTTTTTTGGTTAAACTTTGGAATTAAGAGATCACAGAAAAAAAACTTCAGCTGACAGAGCACCAAAAAAAAATCACCACAAAATCAGGATACAGCACTGCTCCCCATTAAAATGCAGCTTTCTATTAATGAAGCACATAATTAATTAAAGTGGGTCCCAAAGGGCAGCTTACATTTTTCATACGTTTGATCTCTGCCTTCTCCTCTTGCTCCTTCCTTCGTTTCTTCTCCTGGAGAATCTCATCTAAAGTCTTCACCTTCCAAGAATCCTTTTCATCACCCATTTGAGTTTAAAAAAACACCCTCTGCAAAAGGAGACGTTGACAAACCCCACAAATAAATGAAAATAAATCTATTTTACACCCATTCTTTCAATGCAAACACTTAATGTTTATTTTTGAGTAAAGCCACGCTAGAGTTGGTTTATGGTGAACCAAAAATGTTGGTTTTAAACCCAAAGGAAAGACTCTGATAAGAGCTCAGGGAGCTGTTGGAGGACACAAAAAACCCCAAATTTATGGGCAAGGTTTGGTGTTATACATTTAAAAATAACCTGAGATCTCGGGGGAGGTAAAAAAGCTTGGGGAAAAAGGAAACAGAACACAAATAATATGGACACAGATAAATCATTTATGGAATATCTGGCAGAACTCCTGAGATAAGGAAAAAAATAATGAAGCCAACTGTGCTGAAATCAGCTATCAGTGAGGAAAAGGCACTAATTAGCACGAGAGGAGAAACCACAATTAACCCATAGAAGGCAGAACATTAATTAACAAGAGAACCACACCACTTACAGCCAACGAGCACTAATTCCTCCATTTACTAAAACGTATAAACAACAAAAATTTGCCAAGCGGGGGTTTGACTCGCTGAACACCCCGAGCCCCCAGCTCATCGCTGCCTCCCTCTCCTGCGGCACTCCGGGCCTGTCTCACCCCGCGGCACGGAGCCGATTTCGGCGGAGCCCCGGAGGGGCCGAACAGCCCCGCGGCCCTCACGGAGCGCGGCCACCCGCGGGCCCGCCCGCCTTCCCGCAGCGCTGGGCTTCCCTCACAAGCCCGCGGAGCCCTCCCGGTGTCCCCCCAGCCCCGGTGTCCCCTCAGAGCCCCCGGGGTCCCCTCAGATCTCTCGCGGTCCCCTCAGAGCCCCGCTCACCGCCGCCGCCACCGGGGACTGCGAGCAGCAGCGCGCGGGTCACGCGTCACTTCCGCCCGCCGCCGCGCGCCGATGACGTCAGCGCCGCCTCACGGCGCGGTGATTAATTCAAGGCGTTAATGAGGCGTTAATTGAGGGGCGATTCTCAGAACGGCCAAGCGGAGGGGCGTTAATGAAGCTGCAGGAGGTGCCTGGGTAGTGATAAACCCAGAGAATTAGCGAATGGAGGCGTTGTCAGCACAGGGCCGCGTTTAATTCCACATCAATTAAAGTGCGGGGTTTGATTGAATAAATTAAATTTGGTTGAGTAAATTGGATTGAATAAATTTGATTCCGACCAAAAGAGCTGCAATTCCTACGTGGAAATGAGTGAGAGTGTGAGGGAGGAGATGACAGAGGTGACCAGAGATGGAACACGGCCCAGAACAGCAAAGGTCCCTAATTATGATCTCTAAAATCGCTAATTATCTATTCCTCATTGGAAATATGAGAAATAATGATATAGAATGGGAAATAACGGGATATAATGGGAAATAATGACAATTTAGAAGCACAGGGAGTGCTGTAACATCTCCCACCTGCAGCTCAGTGCATCAGGAATTCACATGTAGGGAAAACACGCTCTGAGTGAATTAAAAAATGTAAAATAAATTAAAATGCACGGCTCCAGCTCACCGAGCTCGTCCTCATCACGGGTACCTGGGTGTGGCCACGAGAAATTCAGGGACAGAAACTCTAAAATGTTCCCCAAAAAAATCAATTTTCTGTCCCAGGAAGAGCTGGGGTGGGACACGCTGGAGGATTCTTAACAAAGAGCAAAAAGCTCTTCGTTAACACAAGAGAAAAGATTTACTGGCCTGACTGGAGAATAAAAAGGTTCTTGGTTTGTTTAATCGAAGGAAAGTAAAAGCTAAAAATATGGCAAAGAAAAATACACAAAGGGACAAAGCCCAGCAGAGCAGGAGGGGTTAAAATCCCAATCCCAAATCCTCGCAGGGTCACAGAAAAACAAAAAAACTGCTGGGTTTTAAAATGTTGGGATTTATGTGAGAGCAGAGCCACCTAAAGCACAAATGAGACACAAAACACACTTTTTTTTTATACTTTCAAAAGTCTCAGTGTATTTGGCAGAAAACAAATTAAAAAAAAAAAAACACAGAGCTCCACAGTCCACAGCTTTTATAAAAGTGACAGGAGTACAAAAGAAAACAAAATACCACAGACTTATCACGTACACAAGGATGAAAAAATTGGCATTTTTCTCCCTCAGATCTTTGGGGAATCTGCCCCAGGCAGCCACTGAGGTGTGTGGAAATGTAATTTTACAGGAATTCCAATTGTAATTGCCTGTTAACCATTATTTTTACCATAAAGACCACTACATATCCATGCTCCAACCTTCCAGAAGAGTGGCAATTATTAAAATCCACTCATTTTAATTTAAATTTTGTTCCCAAAAAGTCCATGTGAATGTTTTTGTAGCTACATGTGTGCTTTATTTTTGTCAAAACTGACTCTTTAGAATTTTGAAAAGGAAAGTTAACTTTTAATCTTTGATCTACCACAAAAAAACACATTTCCTTTAAAAGAAAAAGGAAACTTAAAAGCAGCAGAAATAAAGATTTGCCTCAGTTTATGGTTAATCTGTCACAGATGCCTCTGAGATCTCTTTATATAATCAGAAATTAGGAATTTTACACACAGGTCAGACTCATAACCCTGAGTTTCTAAAAGGCAGCCTTTTGTTGCACTCTTAGAAATAATATTTTTAAAAAAATCCCATCAATTTCTTTCCTCATGCATAATAAAATGAAATTAAAACAACAAAATGGGTTTTTTTTACAGAAATACAGAGATCCTGCTTCCTTTGTCGCCACAGTTTTCAGTGGTGTATTTTTTTTTACCTCTAAGCAACTACATTTGAATTACAAATATTGAATTCAACACTCCATTTACACAGGGTACGTGGGTGAATATTTGCATTTCAGTTTTGTCCATAAATGATCAGAATGCAGTATTTCCACCTTAAATTTTTACATTTTAAACCACTACAAATCCTGGATTTGTAGCCAGCAGCAGGTGCTCAACCACAGCTCATTTCCCACAGTTTGCTTCAAGCAAACCCTTTAAATTTGGGTGTTTTTGGGAGGGAAGGGTGGGAATTCCATTCCTTCTTAGAATTATGGAATCTCCTGAGTGGGAGGGGACCCACAAGGACCATCCAGTCCAACTCCTGCCCTGCACAGAAATCAAAATCCACCCCAAAATCCCTTCTTGTGCTGTCCAAATGCTCCTGGAGCTCTGGCAGGTTTTGGAGGCTTGAGGTGAGGCCAGAGTGGGACAATCCCCTCCTTGGACTTTTCCTTCTCTGCAGCACACAGGAATGAGGGTGCAGGAAATGCAGAGCAACAACCAGAAGCTTCCAGGAGGCACCAACTCCATCCCTCTGCCAGCAGAATTCAGTGGTGGGGCCCCATTTTCACATTGTTTGGATGGGGAGGGAGACAGGAATTGTTTTCCCACAGGACACCAAAGTTCTTCCACCAGCACAGGCCTGGATGTGATTTGGAGTCAAGGAAAAACAACAAAGCCCACGTTTGCCACGTTCCAGGTCCTCTCTTTGGGGCATCAGCTTCCCAAGGTTTTCCTGGATCCTTCCCAGCTCCTCCCTGCTTCAAATCCTGGGGGAGACCTGCCAGGAACTCAAAGGAACCAGAGGAACAACCGCAGCCAGGAGGACTTGAGGAACTCAAAGGAACAACCACATCCAGGAGGATTGGAGGAACTCAAGGGAACAACCACATCCAGGAGGATTTGAGGAACTCAAGGGAACAACCACATCCAGGAAGATTTCAGGAGCTCAAGGGAACTCAAAGGAACAACCCCATCCAGGAGGATTTCAGGAACTCACAGGAACAAGAGGAACACCCCCATCCAGGAGGATTTGAGGAACTCACAGGAATCTGAGGAACAGCCCCATCCAGGAGGAAGGATCTGAGGAACAGCCCCATCCAGGAGGAAGGATCTGAGGAACAGCCCCATCCAGGAGGAAGGATCTGAGGAACAGCCCCATCCAGGAGGATCCCCCTGGAGCCGCGCTCAGCTGGGAGGCTGCAGAGCCCCATGGATCAATCATAGGGTTCCAGATCCTTGGGAATCAGGGGCTCGGTGTCCTCGGTGGGCCCCGGGGGCTGTGGGGCCATGGCCAGGCTGTGCAGGGTCTCCTGCTGGTGCTGCTTGGCCTTGTTGTAGAGCAGGACCCCCACGGTGACCAGGACAGTGCCCACGGCTGACAGGCTGGTGATCTTGTTCCCAAAGACAATGATGCTGAGCCAGATGGACAGGGCGTGCTTGACAGTGCTGGCAACGCTGCAGGGACATGAGAGGGATGTGAGGGGACACTGGGGGGACAGCAGGGACATGAGGGGACACTGGGGACATGAGGGGACAGCAGCTCTGCCACATCCCACAGCCAGGCTTTAATGTCAGCCTTGCCCCTGAACACCCCCTGAAATTCCACTTCCAACCCCATCCATCCTATGATTCCCCTCATTCATTTCTTTGCACAATACCTTTAGTTTTCTTTTTTTTTTAGCACTTTTCAATAATTTCCAACCCCATCCATCCTGTGATTTACCTCATTCATTTCTTTGCAAAAACCTTAATTTTCCTTATTTTTAGCACCACCTGAAATTCCACTTCCAGCCCCAACCATCCTATGATTCCCCTCATTCCTTTTTTTTTAGCACTTTCAATAATTTCCAACCCCATCCATCCTGTGATTTCCCTCATTCACGTCTTTGCAAAAGATCCTTTTTTCCTTTTTTTAACACCACCTGAAATTCCACTTCCAACCCCATCCATCCTATCATTCCCCTCATTCATGTCTTTACAAAATACCTTTAGTTTTCCTTTTTTTAACACCACCTGAAATTCTACTTCCAACCCCATCCATCCTATGATTCACCTCATTCATTTCTTTGCAAAAACCTAAATTTTCCTTTTTTTTAGCACTACCCGAAATTCCATTTCCAGCCCCAACCATTCTGTGATTCCCCTCATTCATCTCTTTTCAAATGCCTTTAGCTTTCCCTTTTTTAACACCACCTGTAATTCTACTTCCAACCCCAGCCATCCTGGAATTTCCCTATTTCCCTCATTCATCTCTTTGCAAAATACCTTTGGTTTTCCTTTTTTTCTAAACACCAGCTCAGATTCTACTTCCAGCCCCATCCATCCTATGATTTACCTCGTTCATTTCTTTGCAAAAAAACTTAATTTTCCTTTTTCTTAGCACCACCTGAAATTCCACTTCCAGCCCTAACCATTTTGTGATTTAACTCATGAACTTCTTTGGAAAACACCTTTAGTTATATATTTTTTTTAAACACCACCTGAAATTCCATTTCCAACCCCATCCATCCTATGACTTAGCTCATTTATTTCTTTGCAAAAACCTTAATTTTCCTTTTTTTAACACCACCTGAAATTCCACTTCCGATCCCAGCCATTCTGTGATTTACCTCATTCATCTCTTTGCAAAAACCTTAATTTTCCTTTTTTTAATACCACCTCAGATTCCACTTCCAGCCCCAGCCATCCTATGATTTACCTCCATTTCTTTGCAAAATACCTTTAGTTTTCAAATTTTTTTTAAACACCACCTGAAATTTCACTTCCTGAAAAGGAATATAAAATAATGTTCCTGACCAAAAAATACAAGACAGTGTTCTTGACCAAAAAATTATAAAATGCTGTTTTTGACAAGAAAGTGTTATAAAATAGGGCTCCTGAAAAGGAATATAAAATTGTGTTCTTGTTAAAAGAGTATAAAATAATGTTCCTGACAAAAAAAATAGAAAAAAATGTTCTTGACTAAAAAATTATAAAATAGTGTTTCTGAACAAAAAAAATTATAAAATAACGTTCCTGAAAAGGAATATAAAATAATGTTCCTGATAAAAAGATAGAAAATCACGTTCCTGACAAAAAAACAGAAAATAATGTTTCTGACAAAAAAAAATAATTAGAAAATCATGTTAAAAAAAATAGTAAATAATGTTCCTGGTGCAAAAATAGAAAATCAAGCTCCTGACAATTTTAAATTTTACCTGAAAGTGACAGGGGAAATCTTGCCCATCAAGGCATAGGCTGTGACACTCTGCAGGTGGAACAGGACCCCGTCAATCAGCAGGAGGATGACGATGTCCTGGTTGTAGCTGAAACTCCTCCCACTCTTCCCAATCACAGGCACATCCTAAATTACCAAAAAAACAAAAAAAAAATGGAATTTAAGGGTTTACTTAATGAGAAAAATCTAGAAGTTATTTTTCACCCAACTGTCAGGAGCAGAGAGAGTTTTATATTTAAATTTTAGCCCAAAAATATACAAGAAATTCAGATCCTGCAATTTTTCTCCAAAAAAAAATTTGCACATCCTAAAATAAAAATGGAATTTAAGTGTTTAGTTCGTGGGAAAAATCTAGAAGTGATTTTTCACACAATTGTTAGGAGCAGAGAGTTCCACATTTCAATTTTAGCCCAAAAATATACAAGACATTCAGATTCTGCAATTTTTCTCCAAAAAAATTTGTACATCCTAAAATAAAAATGGAATTTAAGTGTTTAGTTCGTGGGAAAAATCTAGAAGTGATTTTTCACCCAACTGTTAGGAGCAGAGAGAGTTTTACATTTCAATTTTAGCCCAATATAAAACCTAAAGCATACAGAATATTTAGATCCTGTAGTTTTATCTCCAAAAAAATTTGCTTTCAGAGTGAATATTCCTGTACACCACACAAATAGCAACAAAAAGTCAACAAATATTCCAGATTTTCTTTGCAAGTTTTTATCTCAAAGCTCAAATGCACTGAGACAGAATCATGATTTGAACTCAAAAATCCTGAGATAAATTCAGGCTTTTGGGATCAACTCATGTCCACGTTAAATGATTTATTTTAAAATTTTCTATTTTTTACCTTCCCAATCTCTTGCAAACATTGGATAAATTGTATTTCAGGCTGATTTTTTTTTTTTTTTTAATCAAAAATTAATTTTTCAAATATTTTTTTTTAAATGGGAAGGATAAAAGGTGAAATTTAATCTTAAACTTTGTTGCACATTCTACTCACAATTAAAAAAACCACCTAAATTAGTTTTTAAAAATCCCTACAAATTCATTAAAATAATGAATTCAAATTACCATGAAAAATATCCAAGCTGGAATGAGCATAACCACAGCAGCAGCACTTGTGTAGAACTGAAGCTCTGGGGCTCTACAAAGGAGAAAAACAAAATTAAAATGATTTAAAATTTCATTTTTCAAAGCAAAGACAGAGGTTTGCTCTCAGGGACTGAAGCTGAAAGGCACAAAACCCCATTTTTATCTCATTATAAAATAGAAATATATTATTAGAGGTGGTTTTTAGCACAAAACTTTACTCTTGGTTTAAGTTTCAGAGTTAAAAAGTTGCTTTCTGCACATCCAACAATGCTAAAGATGGTTTAATTTCTATTTAGTAATATTATATATATATATAATATATATAATACATTAAATATTATATTTTAATATAGTATATTTATAAAAGGTTTCTATTATATATTAATATTTCTATTAAATAAACACTTAATAAATATTTTATAAATACCTATAATTATATATAACCATACATAGTTATATAAATATAGAGCTATTTATATAAATATTTCTATTTTATTTCTATTTTTATTTTCAAATATTTCTTTCTGGGAGTTGTAGCTGATTATGAAACTTGCAGTGGGAGCTCAGGGGAGTTTTCTTACCCTGATACAATAATAGAAGTGATCAGATATACACCTTGGTGCAATATAATCACAAATATTTAATTTCTTTATGCAAATAAATAGAACCAAACCTGAAATATTTTGAATACTTACGAAAATCTGTATTTATCTCCACTGAGCAGTTTTTTGGAAAAGACGTTTTGCAAACTAGAGAGGAAAAAAAAAAATTTAAAAATTAACAAAAATTAATTTCTTTTAAATTAAAAGCCACCATTTCTCTGTATTTTAATTAGGACAAATCAATGAATTCATCAATCCTCAGGTGGGTAAATGTTTTCTACCAGTACAGAAAGGAGTTTGTTCTAATGAATTTTATTATTTAATTACAATAATGCTGTTAGATACGAGCGAGTGAATAATTTATTAAAAATCCATTTTCGATACCAACACTTCAATGCACTGTAGAGAATGAACCATGTTAAACAATTTTCTTTCATCTCCTAATTAAATTAATTGCTTTGTCCCCCCAGAGCTGCCCAGGTGCTCACCAGTCCATGATGTTGGTGGACAGGGCTGCAGAGAAGCCCAAGATGTTGAAGCTGATTTCGGTGGCTGTGCACAGAGCCAGCCCTCCCATCACAGGCACCAGGGAGAGGTTCACCAGCAGCCCTGCAAGGGAAAGCCAGCCTCACTCATTTGCTGCTTTTTTACTGCAGAGAATTTGAAATTCTGAACAGCAAGAAAAAAAAAAAAAAACCCACACTGAACTTCAGTTTTTAAAGCCGCGAGAATTTCTTGATAGAAAAATAACAATAATCCCCTTCCAGCAAACCCTTTACATTCTACAAACTTGTAGATTCTTCAATGCATTTATTATATTTTATATATTATAAATAATATAGGACATGATTATATTATATATATAATAAATATATAATATGTAATGTGTACTATCTATATTATAATATGATGTTCTATTTATTATATTTTAATGGCCAGATTTTCACCACAGCCAATTAAAAAGAGTCATTAAATGTCACTCCAGGACTCACCAGTGTATTCCCCCAGAATCATCCTGGACATGATGACAGTGAAAATTGGGGCAGAGCTTTTCACAGTTTCTGCAAACGAAACTGCCACATTCTTCAGGCTCACCAGCCCCAGGACCACTGTTGCAAATCTGCAGCAGGAGAAAACCACAAGAAATTCATTTAAATAAAGAAGGAATTAATGAGTGCACCAGAAGAAATTAAAATAACGCTTCAAGAGCTACTCTGGGACACGCAGCACAAAAAGAATTTGCTCTGTGGTTTCTCCTGCACCTGCAAGGTCAGATCTTTCTTTCAGCTCTGGCTTAAACATTATTTATTTAAAGCAAATAAAGGCACCCTCGGGCAATGTGGAATGGCTTTGGCTGCAGAGTGGATTTCCAGAAAACAAATTTACTTTTTAACACACTCCAAGGCTCAAGTGGCCATTTTTTAAGCCAAAGTTTTCAACAGGCTCAGTTAGAAAAGTGCAAATCTTCTGAGAAACAGAAATTCACCGAGGAAACTTCACCTGCAGTTTTCCATCTTTAGTGTAAATTAGATATGCCACACAATTACCACAGTTTAAACTCTGAAATTAATTGAATTTATCACTTATTTGATTTTCTTTATCAGTTTTGCAGGGCAGAGGAAACAAAACCAGGCATTTTTATTCCCTCCTCGACCACAAACTAATACAACCCCAGCACCCAGCAAATATTTACTTTGCAAAAGATAAATTTTAATAGCCTGGATGACTTTTGAGGCAAAAGGCTGATAAATATTAATGCACTAAACAAACATCAGCCTCAAAAGAGAACAGGAAAAAGTAAATGGAAAGAGAAGTGAGCTCTGAAAAAATGTAAATGTGATGGGAAGGCCAAAAAATTGACATCTGGGCAAAGGAATAACAACAAATAAAAATAAGGTTATCCTGGAAATAACAACAAATAAAAATAAGATTATCCTGGGATATTTCTTGGCAGGGGAAGGACACGAGAACAGAACTTTGGTTTGGAAAAATACAAATATTAGCAAAGCTGGAGCAGGGAATGTTTCCCTTTGACCTCATTAATCCAACAAAGAGCATGATCATGATGAAGTTGGGGGGGTAGGAAATTCGGGTCTTGTGCTGGTACAGGCAGCAAGGGACAAACATCTTGATGCAGCCAATGAAGGTGGTGGAAAGCATCTGAACAGCACCTAAAAGAGGATCAGAGAGGGGAAATAAAATCAGATCACAACAAATTAATTGCCACGAGAAGATCTCTTACACAAACATGTCCGCGGTGGTTTTGGCAGTGTGTGTTTTATACATTCTCACAAAAGCCCTTTACTTCTGCACCTAAGCAAGGCAGCACAATAAAACAAATGTTTGTAAACCTGGCTCACAGATGAACTGCCTGTTTTTTGCCCCTTAAGAAGAAAAAAAAAAAGAACTGAAATGGCCATTGGATAACAGAGATCACCAAAAGCAACTCTTGTACTGCACAGCTCTGGAGAGCATCAACAATTTACTCAAAATTTGACTTTTTGTTAAACCCTCCAGCACAGAAAACTAAAAAAAATACTTTTTTTTTTTCCTCTTAAAGCTCCTCTACAAGGAAAGTTTCATCTTTCAGCAAGTGGAGGAAAGGACAGTGTCAGGAACCACTTTAAAGGCCAAAATCCCAAGTTCCCCAGCCCCAAGATCCCTCCCCACACCTTCCAAACCAAGCACTTTTCACTTCAATTCAACCATTCTCTCCCTCATCTTTACATGGGACGATCTGGAATTATCAATCATAGGATGATGGAACATCCTGAGCTGGAAGGGATCATCCAGCCCAACTCTCATCCCTGCACAGACACCCCACAACCCCACCCTGTGCCTGCCAGCATTATCCAAACACTCTGGGAGTTCTGGCAGCTTCTGGGGCTCCCATTCCACTAAATAAATCAATTTCCCACTGGAATTCAGAAAAAAGCAGGGTACCAAGCATGCTGGGCTCTCCCTCCAGCAAGGACAGGATGTATTTGTTAAGGAACAGAGTGCAAAAGCTGAAGAAAAACCACAGAGTGAGGTAGATGAGGGCGTGGGAGTTCCAGATGCCCAGGTCGGACTCGATGACCGTGGTCTCTGTGATGGTGATTTTCAGGACATTCTCCTCTGGCAAACTGTCACTGCGAGCAATCACAAATTTCTCACTCCTGTTAGCAAAGAGGGAGCCCAGCTGGAACAGGGATTTTCCCTTTGGCTTCTCCTCCAGCTGGGGAGGGTTCGGGGCCTAGAGGGTCAGGGCACTCGTCATGGTGAGGTGAAGAAAGAAATATTTTCAAATATTCTTTGTCTTTCACACAAAGCAACACTGACAAAGCACTTGTGGAAATAAAAATGTCATGTGGTCAATGCTTCATCTCCCAGGGGCCTGGAAAACTGGGTTTGGTCCTTCCAAGGACATCTTGCAGGAATATGAACTCCACAGGATTCTTCATGTGGGCTGCTCCATGTTTTCTGCCTAAGAGGGGAAAAAAAGGGAAAGAAGGAAAAAAGATGTGTGACATTTTATATCCCTAATGCAGCAAAGATAGCACGTTTCACCTGCACTTTATGAAAGATAAAGAGACTTCTGTAATCCCTCGGGCTGGATTTTGAACTCCTTGTCTTCATGCCAAGATTAAGCAACAAGAACTAATCTTAGGGAGGTTTTTTATTCTAAAATAACACCCACCCACCCACCAGACTTTGTGTTTTTATGTCCTTTTCCCTCTGGAGCACCTCAACACAGCATTACCAATTATAACTAACTCCTCTTCCAGATTCTACAGTGACTTTGATCTCCCTCTGTCTTTAAACACTCCCCAGAAAAATCTTCCCAACCCAGCAAATCCAAGCAGGAACCTCTGCCCTTCAAACTAATTAACCTGTTATCAACCTGAGTCAAAGAGAACAATAATCAAGGGCTGCAACTCCCAGTAATCTCACAGCTACCCTGGTACACGTATCCAAGTGAAAAAAGTTGGGAAATATGTCCAAGAGCTTTCCATTTTTTACATCTATTTAATTACATGGGAATAATGCAACATTCCTCATTTTGCTACACCTTCCAATCCAATATTAGCACTTGCAACTAATTCTTAAAGCATTTTTAACAGATTTGGCAGCAAAAGGCCTTAAATTATTTGCAACCAGAGCTTTTTCTTTCACAAATTACACAAAATTTGGCAAGTTACAGTAGCAGAGCGAACAACAAAACCACCCTGTGAAAGAAAGAAAAAATACAAGAGTTCTAACAAGAGCTACTGCACCTGCCCTGATTTTGTGAGCAGTTCACTCTACTTTCTTTAAGAATTTATTTTTAATGCTTCTTAAATATCCAATGTGCCATCTCAAATAAATCACAAAGAGTACTGAGGAGTTCAATATCTGGTGTCAGTCTCAGTACCCTACACAGCAGCTGCTTCACAGTGAAATTTTCCATTCCTCACATTCTCCAGTTGCTACAGCCATGCACTGAAGATTTCCATCCCCCTGCCCTTATCTCTTCCCATTTTTCCAGGAATTCATGCCAGCAGCACACTGAGGTATGGGACCCCCTGACACGATCACATTAAATGACAAAGTGGTGGTAACCCAGTTTAACACAGAACTCTGAAAAAAGATACACCTTCTCCAAGAGAATTTGTTCAGAAAAATGGATTCTTGACTCCTCCTCCTTTTCCAGGTCATTTTAAAAAATCCCTCTACATTCAAAATAGTAAATTATCACAGCTTTCTCGATAGCTTTTCTGTTTACACAACTTAATTAAAACCAAGAACAATTAAGCACAACCAAAGCCCCACCCTCAGCAGCTGATATCAGATTTGATATCAGATTTGATATCACTGATTCCACACATGGCAGGCAGCAGAACAGCAAATAACAACGAAATTACTCCCCTAAATTACTGACCTGCTGGCTCCAATCAACTGGAAAGTCTAAATGGGCTGACAGAGTTCTCCATCTGGAACTAATTCAGTCTTCCTCCCTCAAGGCCAACCAGCAGCTGATGTTTACCAACAGATGAAAACGTGGCAGTGGTTGGCAGTTGTTTCTCTTGGATTACTCACAAAGAACCGGCAGCGTGAGTGCCTCTCGCTCTCCTCGTATCTTCTCCAACCTTTAACTACACCCCTAGTAACAATTATGGAGGAAAAAAACACCCACAGAGAACTTTAGAAAAGTCGGCTTTTCACAAATAGAAACTAAATATGTTGCAAGGGCTGGAGAAGCTAAGGCTGCTGTGACAGTGAAAAACCAAAGGTTTGTGTCCATGACCCTTTATGTGTTATGCAAAAGGTCACTCAAACATTGCTCCCAAAGCAGCAAACGCACAAAATCCAGCAGCCTGAGCAAGCCTCGCTCATTAACACGCCTCGCTAATGGCAACGAGAGCATCCAAGATGTTACAGACCCTGCAGATACAACAGCAGAAGACGCTGGAAGGCTGAAACAGCTCAGCACGTTGTGTTTCTGCTCACCCACTGCCGGAGCCTTCCCGGCCGCATTCCCATTCCCACTCCCGGTGCCGCAGCTCCCGGAGCATCCACACACCGGAGCGGGCTCGGAGCCCTCCCGGGAGCACCGTTCCGACCCAGCCTGCGGGCCCAGGGGCTTCCAGCACCGCCATCCCCTGCTCGGCCCGGCTCGGATCCTCCTCTGCGGCTCGCCCGCCGCTCCCATCCCTCCCTCCCTCAGCCCATCCCCGGAGCCCTCAGCGCATCCCGGCCGCCACCTGCGCTCCCACGGCTCCGGCAGCACCGGGCTGCGGTGGAACTGGGCTCCGGTAACGCCGGGCTGGCTAGCCCCGGGCTGTGGTGGAACTGGGCTCCGCTAGCACCGGGCCGCCCGTCCCCTGCCGTGCCCGGAGCCCCGCGCTGCAGAGGCGGCTCCGGCCGCGCACCGCCCGCCCCGCCGGGCCGCGGGGGCTGGCCGGGCACGCCGTACCCGAGCACGGGGCTCGCCCCTTTGTCACCGCGGCGGCGGGGAGGCCATTTTACCAAAAGCACGAGGAAGCCCAGCAAAGCGGCACGGGGTTACGGCTAGAACCGCGCAGAGCGCCTCGCGGCCGGCCGCCCCTCCATCGAGCCGGGCGGGCTGCCCAGCGCCGAGGGGACCCCCGGGGCGGAGGGGCGGGAGCGCGGCGGCCCCGCCGCCCGGGAGGAGCCCAGCTGCGCTTCCCGCCCGTGCCGGGGAAGTGACGCGGAGCGGGCCGGCCCCGGAAGCGCCGCCGGGACCCCTCCGCAGCCATGTAGGACCCGCGGCCGGGGCGGGACGCGAGGCGCGGCTGCCGCTATGGACGGCAGGTACGGGCGGGCCGGGCCGCACCACGCGCGGTGCGGGGGCGCCTCCCCGCGCTCCCCCCGCGCCTCGCCTTGAGGCGCCCATGCTGGGGATGGGGGCCGCGGGCGGGGCCCCCCTGCGGTGGGGGTGGTACGGCCCCCTGACGGCCCCGCTCTCTCTCCCACAGCGGCGCCGCGGCTGCGGCGGGGCCGAGCCTGCCCAACCTCACCCCGCGGCACCGGCAGCTCATCCCCACGCCCTGCGGCCCCGTGAGTACATCTCTGCTGCTGCTGCGGGCGGCTTTGCCGGTGTCATCCGCGTTTCTGTGCCCTGGGGGGGTGTGAATAAACATGGCTTAAATCCGCGTGAGGAGTCAGGTGGGGCAGGGGAGTCAGCTCGCCGAGGCTGGCACAGCTGTGCTGACAGCGCTGTGGAGTGTCCTGAGCTGGAAGGGACCCTCAGCTCCTGGCCCTGCTCACACACCCCAAAATCCTGTCTTGGGTACCCCTGGCAGCTCCTGGGTCCCTCAGGATCACTGATCAGCTCCTGGCCCTGCTCACACACCCCAAAATCCCACCCTGGGTACCCCTGGCAGCTCCTGGGTCCCTCAGGATCACTGATCAGCTCCTGGCCCTGCTCACACACCCCAAAATCCCACCCTGGGTACCCCTGGCAGCTCCTGGAGCTCCGGCAGCCTCTGTGCCCATTCCTGGGGAGCCTGGGCAGTGCCAGCACCCTCTGGGGGATGAACCTTTCCCAAAATCCAACCCAGCCCCCCTGGCCCAGCTCCAGGGGTTCCCGGGTGTGTCCCTGTCCCGGAGCAGAGAGCAGAGCTGTCCCTGCAGCCCCTGGGGTCCCCCCGTCTCCTCCAGCTGAACGCACCAAGTGTGAAATTCCTGCCGGGATCCTGCTCCACCTGAAGTATTTTAATGAAAGAAGAGAAGGACTTTGCCTTCCTGAGAAAGCTGACCCTGTCTTTACAGTTTTCTAAAGCTGAAAGTGTGGAAAAATGTTATTTCCATGCTCTGAGAGGTGTGTATGTGGGCAATGTCCATGTCTTGGGTTATAACACCATGGCCTTGTGAGGCACAAAGGCTGTGGGTATAAACCAGGACTATCTAGGCTGAGATTAATTATGAAATAAAGTCAAACTTCTCCCTTCCTCAGCAGTTTGGGAGTTTCAGTCCAGTAGTGAAGTTTCTCTTCCTTTTCCCAAAGTAAACCCTGCCCTGTCTCATTTACCCCACTCGCCTCAGTGTGATTTTTAGGAACAACAGCAAATTTATTCTGCGTGATGTGACAAAGAATGTTCTCCTTTTGCAGATAAAACCATGCTCAGAGCTCTCATTCCCTGTGAAGATCTACTTCTGTGTCACTATTTTGTCCCTGCTGAGTGTCATAGGGCTGACCATCGAGACCCTGGTGCGCCAGACTGAGGAGGACTTCACCATTTCCTTCATTCAGCTGGTTGGAGCTGGTAAGAAACCCAGTTTGGGTGGAGGAAATAATGGAAATAATAAAAATAACGATAAAAATAATAATTTAAAGAATTAAAATATAATAATAACAAAAATAACAATAATAATAATAAAAATATTGTTGTTGTTATTAAGCAGCAACTCCACTTTCTTATATAACAGATACTGGATGTTGAGCTATTCCAGACAAATTCACCACTTCCTATTTTAATGTCTGAGCCATGATACCCTGGGAATTCAGGTATCCACAGGCCAAGCTTCCTCAGACCTGTCCTGACCCAGTTCTTTTTTGGATTGTAGTTTGCAGGGTGGGGTTGTTTCAAAATTTCCACAATTAAATAAACTGAATCCAGACCACAGGCAGCACTTGTGTGAGTAATAAACTGCTTTTGAGTCACCTGAATTACCCTGGGAAGACAATTTTATTTAATTTCTTTAATATAAATGGTGCTGTTTCATTGAATTCAAATAAACAACGACATAATATTCAGTGAGGTATTCATAGAATGACTGGTGAGGTTTTGTGGAACAGCTGAACATCCAGTATCTCTTACATAAGAAATTTGAGTTGCACCCAAATCACAAAATCATCATCATCATTATTATTATTGTTATTATTGTTGTTGTTGTTATTGTTATTGCTGTTGTTATTGTTATATTATTTTTACTGCTGCTTAATCACAACATCATTATTATTATTATTATTGTTATTATTGTTGTTGTTGTTATTGTTATTGCTGTTGTTATTATTGTTATATTATTACTACTGTTGCTCAATCACAACATCATCATTATTATTATTACTACTACTACTACTAGTAGTAATAATAATAATGTAGTAGTATTACTACTACTACTATAGCAATAATGCCAGTTTGGATGATACACTGCCATTTTCACAGTGCTACTTCACAAATAATTCAAAAATCTCTCTAATCATTTAATTTCTTGCGTGCTAAACCCAGCAGGGAGTGTTTGACTCCCCTGACTGAAGCCCCTTGGTAGGAGCCAGGCCGAGGAGCCTCAGGGCCACCCTCTGGCTGCAGAGCTGGGAGTTCTGTCCCTTTGGAGTGGCACTGACATCCCCTCTCCCCCAGTGTTCTGTGTGTACTACGTGAGCAGGGGCATCCTGCAGGAGAACCGCCAGGAGCTCGTGGTGTTCGTGCTCTCCATCCTGCTGCTGATGCTGCGCTCCATCATCAACTTCGCGCTGCTCCCTGCCGGGCAGAAGCCACAACTCCTGGTCAGTCCTGCTGAAAGTTCTCGTGCTCAGCTTCTCCTCCCCCCACTGCTGGGGCTTGGAAATGCAGCCTTGGCAAGGCAACATGTCTGTGGTAACACTTAATATATGATCTGAGAAATATATGATATTCATATAATATAATATATATTTTATTTATCTGTTTTATTATAGGCATGGTATATTTTATATTTATATATGACATTTATAGGGTTTTGTTTATTGTATATTATTATTTTTTCTTTATGTATTATTTGCATCTATATCTATTATTATATCTCGTATATAGTATACAGAAATATATATTCAGGTATTTTTGTATTTATTTGGGTTTTTTTTGTATTTAAATTTTTGTATTTTAAATGCAAAATTTTTATTTTGGTTTTTTTGGGGGTGTTTTTTGGTATTTATTTTTGTATTTTTGTCTTTCTCATATATTGACGTATTTTTGTTACTGATAACAGAGAATCAGGCTGAATTATCCCTACTGCACAACAAAACGTGCACACCCACAACTGCAAATCTTCTCTGAGCTGATCTCTGAGTTTCCTCACGGCAGCACCCACAAATACCAGCAATATCAAAGGATGGCACAGAGTGGCTGTGGAATGTGTCCTTTCCCTGTGGAATGTCTGGCTGAAGTCACTTCAGTCCAGCCTGGGCTGCAAGAGGAGCCCCCAGGCTGTGAGCACAGCCCACTGCTCCTAAATGTGATTTATGAGATTTATGGGAACCTGCAGGCAAACAAAAAGATGCAATAATGTTTCTTGTTTGCATTTCATAGCAGTAAAATTTTTTTAAAGTATTTTACTCTAGGCATTACTAAGGTTTGTAGTTAAATTCCCTCTTGCTGTGCTTCCAGGAAGCGCTTTCTTTTTATCACATATTAATCAAAAAGCTGTGAAGTCATCCAAAAATTACTCTTCAGCAGGAGAGGTGGCAGCCAAGCAAGGGAGAGGGAGCAAAGCAGCTTTGCCAGCTCAGTTTATTTATCAGTTGAACACACTTCAGCTGCAGCAGGCTGGCTTGGTGGGGCCAATAAGGAAAAGGCATCAGAGAAATGCTGGTTACTTTTAAGATGCACAGCCAAGTCATCAGTTTAAATATTAAACAAGAACTTCAAAGTAAAGCCTGCTATAAATGTGAAAAGTGATTTTAAGGGTTTTTTTTACTACTCTAACTGTAACTTGGATTAGCATGCTATAAATGTGAAAAGTGATTTTAAGGGTTTTTTTACTACTCTAACTGTAACTCTGCTTCCTGAGCCAGAATAATAAATATTTTCATATCATTATAACTCTGAAGGATGTTTTGCCACCTGAGCCATCCTTAAAGCACGAAAAATGGAGCGTTAATTCCAGCAGAGTGGATACAGACACAAACCTGTGTTTCTTGGAATTCTACAAGTCCAGCATTGTTAACTCCACAAGTCCAGCATTTCCCCTGTCCCCAGTGGGAAAGGTTTTGCTCCAAAGTTGCTCAGAACCAGTCTCAGTGAAGGTTTTGCTGTCGCTCTGTGTGTGTTGTTGGGCTCCTGGTGCCAGCCTGGTGCCAGCCTGTCCCTGCTGTGGCCAATCCTGAGCTGTTTCTCCTCCTCAGGCCCGTTTTGTGCTGATCCTGCTGGTGGGCTCCTTCGATGTCATCTGTGCCCTCATCCTCATCCAGAGCCAGTCCATGATGGCATTCCGGGTGGGGGGAGCCCTGGAGAGCCTCCAGGCCCAGTACTTCATGCTCAACCTCTGCTTTTCCATGCTCACTTTTGACCTGCAGGCACAGGTACAGAGATTCCCTTTTTCCCCTCTTCCTGGTGATATCTTGGACTGGCTGAGTTGAATTATTCCTTTCCAAGAGCAATCCTCTCTCTTACCTTTTTTGTATTAACTTAATAATTGGAGTAGCTCCATGTGTTTGTCATAGCTTAATTAAAATCTATCCAAATGAATCAAAATATATTTCATTGCTGTCCTGCACAAAAGGAGAACTGAAGCTTATTTTTGGGAAGTTTATCCATAAAAGCAATTGCATCCAGGAGCTCCACCCCACCCATGGGCTCCTGAAATAAGCAAGGCTATTCCTGCCCCTCTCAGCCTCCAATCTCCTGCACTGAGGAAATGATTCTGGAGTGGGAGAGGGGAACTTGACCAGCAGGGCAGTGAGACAGAAAATGAAATTACAG